CTCTATTTCAATGTTTGGGTGCCCAGTTTTAGACAAGCAGCGAAAATATTTACCAAGTTGTGTTAGCACAGTCCAGTTTGTGATAAATCAAAAACTACAAGCTAAAAATGTAAAGCACACCAGCATTTACATGGTTCGGCTAAATCCACTTTTAGTCTACATCCATGGGACCTCGTCCAGATCGAAGCAAATCCACTAATCAAACAAACATTATAAGGTATCGTTCAAAGATGATTTTAGCAACAGTAAAGAGAACTCCCTTATTTTAGTTACACTAAACACCAGTCCTTGAATCTCTGATGTCTTGTTGCTCTAAGGATTTCTTCACACCAGGTACACTCTTAGAAACATGCTTAAGCTCCACCCAAGACTTGTGTAATGACTGATTTATACTAGGATACTCAAAGAAATAGATCAAGTAGAATATATTTATATTAGCAAAAGTAAATGGGCCCAAAATTTTCTTTTATTAAATATAGACATTATTTATACAAAACATAATATCATTTACAAAATGATATTAAAACGGTGGACAGTGTAGCCATTGCTCCTCGCTTACCAACGCCCATTCGACTGCGTTCTCATCTAGATCCTGCAACCACAAAGAAAACAACGGGGTGAGCACAAAACAATGCTCAGTAAGTAAATCCTCTACTCGACTGTCCCCGTAACTCTTTCTCTTAATTCTTTCCTTATAATTTTTCTCATCTCATTTATTTTCTCTTTCACACAGCTCTCTTTCTTAACTTCTGTTATATGTCATGGCCTCATCTTACCGGAGGCACGGCCGGGTGGAGTTCACACAGCACCAATCCACTCTTCGTGACTTTCGGGTGGAGATCATAAAGCACCAACTCGTTTTTCATAACTATCGGGTGGAGATCACAAAGCACCAACCCGTTTTTCGTAACTATCGGGTGGAGATCACAAAGCACCAACCCGTTTTTTGTGTTTTTCTCATTCTCTCTACTCTTAGAGTAGTTCATACACAAAGTTCTCTACTCTTTCTCAATCCACTTCTCAATGCACAATTAATACATATGGATGGTTCTTCTCCACTAATGCACTCATGAAATGCCAACATGCAATGTTGCAAGAATTAAGGTTTACTACTCATGATTCTCTTAGGCATTTCATCAAACAACTAGTGTGCATACATACACTCTACTTTATCTATAGTTCTATCCCTCTCTTGAACCATCCAAAATGGGAGGAAACTCCCTCACATAACTATAATTCTTGTCATAAAAGAACACTTCTAAAGAACTTACTCAATCTTCTCCAACTTCATCTCAAACTACACCCTCTCATCACATATTCATCACATATTAACACTTCTCATCAATGAAGTGTATTCAACAACCATAAAAAAAATACTCATCTCAACCCAATTTCTCAATAACATAACATATATCATGCATAAATAAATCTCTACTCAAAGGATTTCTCAAATATCAATTTGGATTGGGATTTACTTACCTTGTAATGGAGAAATCTTACTAACACTTTCCTTTCCTTTAGATTACTTGTCTCTTCTCTACCCTTTAAACAATAAAACCATAAGACTTCAATGTACAAATATATGCAAAACTTCACATCTAAAGCAAGGATTCTTACCTTAGGATGCCTTAGATTAATGTTCTACCAAGATCCAACTAAAAGCCCTCAAAGATCCTTGAAAGATGGAATGAAGAATTGAGAGGAAATGGTGAAAGAGTATGGCAGTGGAAGAAGAATGAATGAAAGGTTCATTAAGCTTCAACCCTTTTTAGCTCAAAATATATTCATTCATTCCCATATTGCCCTTGCTCTTTCTTCAAAATTCCATCTTTGTCCTTTCAATCATTACAATCACACCCCCACTCTAACATATTCTCCATAAAATTCTCTTACATTTTACTCCCCACTTTTCCTGCTAACTAAGGGTAGAAAGGTCATTTTGTCCCTATGGAAGAATTCTCTAGAAACCTCAATAAACTTTTCAGCCGACCCGTTGTTGCGGCGAAGACAGCTCCGATGCCCTGGCGAAAACTTACAGAGCCGACACCGCAATTACAAAACCAACGTCGCCGCGGCGAAGACCGAAATTCCAAACTTCACCAAAACTCAACCAAAATCAGGGCAAACACTCAACCAAATCAACTAAGGGCCAACCAACTGAAAATAACGACATACAAGCTCAAATGAGAACAAAGCAATAAACATTCAAACATACAACATAATCTACGTACCTCAAATGGGGCGTTACAACTTGGTTGCCGAAGACACGCTCTAGCTTCAACTAAGCAAACAAGTTCCAACCATCATACAACAAGGATGATAGATGATAATAGTTTGGCACAAAAACATAAGATGAACCTTTGAGAAAAACTTCTGAAAGTTTCAAAGCACAAAATGAAATATCACCAAAAGGTTCACAAAGTAATGTAACAAAAATGGAGAAGATAAAGGATAGTTTCATGCACTCCAATTCTGTCCAGGTCCGCAGACAAGGCTAACATGTGCTGGTCCAAAAATAACAATGTTTTTACCTTTATTTAGGACCACAACAAAAAGAGAATAAAGCTGATTTTTCCCTACACCTTTGAAGGATATTAAGCCACCTGTTAGTGGTCCAAACGACAGCACAAAAGAGTAGAGAAAAATATCTAAGCAAAAAGATAAAAGTCGCAACATGTGCCAAATGATAGTCAGACGTGCGATGTTGGCACAGAAAGAGAGTGTGCACACACTCGAAAAAGGAAAGCGATCAGATGCTGCAATCAACAATCACGATCAGCTATCACGATCAGGACTCAGTGTGCGAGCACAAATTTGTTGTGCACACACTCGAAAGAAAACATGCCAAAACATAGGTTTGGCAAACCTGTGCACACACACACCTGTTGTATACACACAAACATAAAACATAAGTTTGAAAAAATATTCAACATCCATGACATTACTGGAAAGCGTGGACAACAAATTAATATTTTTGTTTGATTGAAGTGTGAGTTATTGAAGCTTCTTTTATGTATATTCTTTGATTTGAAACGAAAGGTGCCCAACTGTTCTATAAGCTTAGCCCAATTACCGAGCTTTAAAACTTAGTAATGTGGGACGCACTTGGGTTGTTACAATTCACCTTGTTTCTGCAACTGACAGCCACGATAGTCCATTCACTTGGCTAGATTTTGTCTTTTCAAACAAGCCAGGAATATTAATTAAACATCCACTTAAATTCAATTCACTTTAAAAAAAAAAAAAAAAAAATCAAGATCACCTCCTAAATCAAATTTAAAACTTCAAATTTCAGGGTGTTACATTTTCTACTCACTAATAAAAATATAGTCCACGGAATCTGATTTCAACATCAACTCCATTAAAGCTTGGGTGAACAACTTATAATATTCTAGCATACTAATTATGAGCGAAATTATCCGAATATTCATATTATTAGGATATAAAGACATTATACCTAACCCCTTATCACAAAAGTCTCCAATATCGGCTTAGTCAAAGTAAACACATGTCCTTGGTGGTCATTGACTTCTTTCTTGGCCTGTTATCATCTTGTTCATCTATGACAGGTGATTAGTTTTTCCACAGCCAAAACACTCTCTTTAGATAACATTCTTTATAATGCCTTTTCTACAACATTGACAGATGTTTCTTTGAAAAGAGTCTGCAGTTGAGCCCTTTTGAACCATTATTAATGCCACCATTATTTTATTTATGAGGTAAGTTCTCTTGTTTATTTGAACTTCTATTCCAAGACCCACTTTGTGTATCTTGTTTGTTCGTAAAATCTCTTATATGTTGAGACTCAATCATGATTAGATTAACCATATATCTACAAACCCTGCTAACTAACTAAATAAATAACCTAAAATTAATAGCATGACATAACCCCTAAAATTTGACATTTACCATCCTCAGACATCAATCTCTTTGTGCTGCATCGCTAATCTAATAGGTTGTTATAGTGTATATATATGGTTGAACTCTTTTCTCCTCCCTTGAGCTAGTTTTTGGGTTTGAGATTAAACAACCCTCGCATTTATGTACTTATCCAATTTCCTTATTGGGAAAACATTACCTAAATTTTGGAAAGTAAGAACAGGTCAATACTATTGTATTTTATTTTAAATTAAATTACCCTAAAATAATTTAGAAATAGACAACTACCACCCAAACTACTGATGCTGTCCAAAGCCTGTTAAGAAAAGAATGGTAAAATAAAATTTTACAGAATCCTTCAAGTTAGAAATAACGTATGAAAATAAATATTCTATTTACAAAACCCAAAAAATAAAGCAAAATTAACCAAACTTATATTTTTATATGTTAATTTATGTGTAGATATTGAAACAATCTAGAGTAATACGAGATCAAGACAGTTAATACACACAAACCACAAACAATAAAGAGAAAGAAGAAATACGTGCAATTTACCCAGATGCACCCAATTAACAAGCTACATCCTACAGAGTCAATATTATTACAATATTGTCTCACCTCTCTCGTTACAATGAAAATAATTTGCCTGAAGATTTGCTGACACTCACATATAAGAGAAAAGATGTTTATATACTAGGTTTAAAGTTCAAAACCTAGTATTACAAGGATTCATATTCTTAAGCCCAAATTCAATAATGAATTAATAACTTAGAGGGATCCTTTAGCTGTTCTTCATAAAAAAAGCCCAAACGCCTACGGGCTCGGGGCCTCCGCCTACTGACCGAGCAAGGCCTCTGCCTACTGACCGAGCAATGAGACCCTAAATACGTCTATATGGCCCCTTATTGCTAAAGTGGTTGACAACACCAACAATATTACATCGACATTTAAAGTGAAATTAGATTTTATATAAATTCCCTCGCTTGCCAGAAACTAATTAATGCGGACTAATCAACTAATGCTGATGAAAATTATCAAGTTGACTAGTCAAGATACTGCTGATGAAAAAATCAGCCACTTCAGTTTCACTAATTGGTTGGTTGTATGTGAGTTTCATTTTCTTGGACTTTTTTGTACTTCATGTAGCACAAAGTCATGATCAAGCTGAAACTACTACTTAATCTTCTTCTTCATAGGGGCTCAGACTTGTGTTGATTATGTTATAAATCAATATTATTCTTGAAGAAACAAACAAGATTAATATTGGTTTATGTATGTACCATAATGTTGATCAAATCAGCAGCTCAGCTTCAGTTTCAGTGATAATTTGTTTGTATGTGAGTTGTATTTTCTTGGAAGTTCTTGTACTTGATGTAGTTCAAACTCAAGCTCAAGCTAGTACTAAAGCTCCTAATGAAGGTTTGCTTCAATCTTTTTTATTATTACTATTATTAAGATGATTTTTCTCACTAATTTATGTACTCATGGCTGCTTACTTTTAAAATTTCTTAAATTACAGGAAAATTGTCGATCTGCAAGTTAATGGTATGATCCCAGATGAACTATGGAGTTTGAATTTCCTTACCCATCGGTATGGTTTTGTCAATTTCATATATGTTTATTTCAATTGTGTATAATTTCAGACCATTAGATGAGAATGAGTGGCTATGAAAATAGTTTACTTAATTTTATTCAAATATGTTAAATCACTCTTAAGTGTATCAAATCATAAAATGATTTGAACTTTGTGTTCTTAAATATTAATCTTACTTGTTTCTTCTGTTTCTATCAGGGACTTGGCAACAAATCTCTTGTCAGGTCCACTGTCTCCATCTGTCAGCAATCTAACTGCAATAAAACATCTGTAAGCTGACAAAAAATATTGATTTTGAAACTCAAACTGTATCCCTTTTCGTGATGCTAATTAGTTCTCATTTTGATCAGGAACTTTCGCCGTAACACATTATCTGGGCAGATTCCAAAAGAGCTTGGCATGCTTCCTAAGTTAGTATTCCTGTAAGCTCAATCTTTGTCCCCCTCTTAACCATATAACTTCTGCTGATTTATCTGAGTGAAATATTTTTTTGTAATTGCATTGCAATTTTATAACTGAAGAACTAAATTCTTGGGGCTGTAGAGTAATCGGAACAAACAACTTCTCGGGTTCTGTGCCACCTGAGCTTTTGTAATTTGCCAAATTTTAGAGCAACTTTATATGGGAACCTTGAGACTATCTAGTCCTCTACCCTCTGAGCTTGGTAATTTGACGAAATTAAAGGAATTGTAAGTTGCTTTAGATGTTTCAGTTTCATTTTAGATGCAAAATATTGTTTATATTGAGCATATATCCTAGTCTATAATGTTCTGTACAATGATGCAAAAGGTGAAACCCCAGCTGGCTTTAGTCTTCACATTTATTGGAGATTATACTATCATGTGTCCCATAATTGTTTACTTGATGATGGCTTTTGCTGGAGACAAGTTACTAGATTGTGATGGAATTTATGGATATTATTTGCCTAGGCAGATTGATTGACAGTTCTGGAGTAAATGGTGAGATTCCTTCAACTTTTGCCAATCTAAAGAACCTGGAAACACTGTAAGAACTTTTTTATTCTGTTAATCTTCTACTTGGAATTTTTCTAATATAGATACGCATTCTGCTGATGAAAAATGGCTGGGGTCGGATCGTAAACAAATTCTTCTTTTGGGCACATGTTGGCTTCTGACATTGAGCTTACAGGAGGGATCCCTGATTTTATAGGAAATTGGTCGCATCTTAAAACCTTGTGAGAAAACTATTCCAATTTTTCTTGTTTATTTTGTTCTCATTCACCCCTAAGTTATTTTAGCTTCAAGCTTCTTCACAATGATTTCTGTTTCAGACACTGTAATTATAATGTTTGAGACTGCGAATATATATCCGGGTACTTTAAATTTTCCTACTTTGAATGCTATGCCAGAACAGTTCACAATTTTCTTTTTATATATGTTAATGTAGGAGGTTTCAAGGAAACTCTTTTGAAGGGTCAATACCCGTCATCCTTTTCCAATCTGACTGAGTTGTGAGTGTTCACCTGCAACGTTTCATTGATCACATCTGAATTTTGCAATGATCAATGCTAACAATCTCATGAACAATGGAAATGTAGGAGAATAAGCGATTTATTGAATGGGAGCTCGTCGTTGTCATTTATAAGGAATATAAAATCTTTAACTATCTTATAAGGCAATATTGTCAAAGTTCTATTATCTTGTGTTCAATAACCTGACATATATACTTCTTGTGTTTTTCTTCTTCTTCTTCTTTTAATCTAGACAGCTGGTTTCATATACCGTACAGAACTAAGGAATAACAAAATTTCCGATTCAATTCTATATGACATTGGCAACTACCAGAGTTTGGTGCATTTGTAATTTATTCATTTCCTTTTCTCTCTCTCTGTTTTTTTCTTCCCTTCATTACTTTTTGGTTATTAGCAAGTTTCTTCATCTTATAATTACGTAATTCTAATATTTTTTTCTTCAGGGATTTGAGTTTCAACAATTTAAGTGATCAGATTCCCAGCTCGCTTTTCAATTTGGGTTCTCTAGCTTCCCTGTAATCTGCCATCTCTGCTTTGTTGTGTCATTATACTTCCCAGAATATTCTCATTATATTGAAACATGTATTGCTGCTGTTGCACTCAGGTTTCTTGGAAATAATAGGTTAACCGGCACACTGCCTGGCAATAAAAGTGAATGTAAGTACTTTTGACATATTTTCAATAATCTCGTTACTAATTAATGTATCAATTGAAAAGGTAATTTTGAGCAAGCCATCAAAAAGCTAAACTTGCATTCAAGTTCCTCTGTTTAGTAGTTTCCTAATATGAAATCAAAGATGTGAAACATGTTCTACCATCAAACACCTGTTTAATGATTTCTTCCACCCTATGTTTTATATATGGATTTTTATGTTTCATTTCAGCTGCATAGTTTAACATCCAGAATGGGGCTGACTAGTAGCTCTACTGTGTCGCTAAAATTTTTCTTACCCTGTTCTTGCAGAGATGTGTCATACAACAATTTATCAGGTAGCATTCCTTCTTGGATAATCCAACAAAATTTACAACTGTAAGTCTTCAAACTCTTTGAAATTTGTTATACAAAGCAAAATATTCTGCTACCTCCACTGTAACATTTCATTCAGAACTTACATTTCTAACAAAGAGTTGTATATGCTCTTTGTTCTGTCTCGCTTCAAGAGAAAGAATAATATATATTCAGTATTTTTTTTTTTTTTTTTTTTTTTACTAAAAATAGAGGCCTGGAAATAAAAAAAAATGGTGTGTACAACCAAGGATATATATATATATATTATTTACTGTACAGTACCCTCTTCCAAGTAAAAATGACCATAAAACTTCTAGTAATATGATCACGTTTAAGTGAATAAAACATTAAGTAAAACTGGAAAGGATGGAAAATAAAATTACAAAGAACTGAATTCCATTAAAAAAACAGTAAATTACATTGATCAAAATCCATTCAAAAGCCAAACGTGTTGGAATTCTACCACTTTATCATTACGAGAAACAACAATCTTTTTGGTACCATTAGCTTGATGAACGATTTTAAATCTAACGTTTCGAAGATTGCATCCGTCGCCACAGTTTTCTTTGGTGTTTGTGCTTCCGAACCCAGTTGAAGAAGTTCTGGCCTTATGATCAGCTGCTGCTTGGGGCTGGGACTGTCTGGATTTGGCTTCTTCGCTTGTAGGCCTTGATGATTTAGAACATTTAGAAGAACCTGAAGGCGTGTGCGGTGATTGATGAGGGCGTTTCTTAGAACCCAAGCTACTATCGTAGGATTGTCTTTTTTCGGGAACTATCAGAACTTGGAACGCAGATTGTATAAGTTTGAAAGCCCCCTCCGCGGCAACAGAATGATACTTGTCCGGATGCAACACAAGAGCCATTCTCTTGTATTGTTTCTTGATCATGCTTGAATCTACTCCGATATCACTCAAAGAAAGAATCTCATACCAGGTGCTGTTCTTGGCAGCCACTTCGTGCACTTTGTAGGCCGTGAAGTAGTCATCGATGTTGGGTACTTCCGGATTAAACTCTTTGGCTGCTGTGAGAAACCTGATCACCATATCTATGTTGTTGAGTTTGAAAAACTCTTCGACCGCATCTCTAGCCTTTACAGCCGCTAATTTGAAAAGATCTCTAAGCATTCTGACTTTGAGTGATTGTGTTTGATAAATTGGAAGTGTTTGTTTTGGTGGAGAGATGGTTTGAAAATAGATTTTAGAGAGAACAAATGAGAGTATGTTTGATGAAATTTAAAGTATGGTGTTTTCGGAGAGGAGGATCAATTGTAGAGGCAACAAGTGAGAATGTCCCTCATAAATTGAAGTACTGGTTTTCTTGGATCATAAGTATTACAAGCCCCGTAATTGACTAGGAAAGGAAAAAAGTAGTTATTTTGCAAGCGAATTTGAAAGAACATTGTAAGTTCTACGAACTCCTTAATTGAATAGGAAAATAAGTAGCTTGACAAGGAAACTAAACAAAGATATCCTAAGGATAAATATATGCCATCTTTATATGGATGAAAAGATCATTAATTAGGGTTCAAAAATAACTAAATAACTAGATCATTTATATCCCCATTAAACTTGAATGCTTATCACTCCACCACTAAATGTCTCCCTCTCCGTAATGCAAATTAAGAAATTCTTCATGAGATTTCTAAATTCAAAGTTAGAATGATTTAATTTTTATATTATTTCATTTTTTTTTTTTAATTCTAAACGTTTACCAAATATTTTATATGTATTTAAAATTTTCTAAATTTTATGTATTATTTTAGTTTTTTTTTTTAATTCTTTAACTGTTTTTATTTCTGTTAATATTTTTATTTCAGATAATTTGTTCAAAAAAATTTGAATGGGAAAGGTCTAATTTACCCTCACTGGTATTAAAGTTAACACCCTAAACTAATGGCAGGGGTAGTAAATTGTGGTTTCTGATGTCTGTGGGGCAGCCTGTCAATTTCGATACTTATAGGGGGTCTATTCTTTCAATATTTTTAAAATACACAACCATATGAGGAAATTATTTGTTTTTTAATGAATTAAATGTTTATCTAAATTTATTTTATAATTTGAAAAATTATGTATATGTATATTTCTCGTTTTATATATATAAAATCAAGTTTGAAAATAAGTTTATTTTAAAAGCTACTTAAATCAACTTTTCAGATCAATCAATTTCAAATGTTATTCATCAAAAACTGATATTGAAACTTAAGAATAAAGTGATTGATTTTTAACTTACCCACAATCAATAAATTTCTACCACAGAATTTTAGTTTAATATAGAAATTTATTGGTTGTCTCTATGAATTAAGTTTTTTTACCTTTGGCCACCCCAAGTTTTGAACTTAACATTTGGACCCTATAAATGTAACTTCTTAATTATTTGCCCCTCTATTCATTGAAGATTATGTTTGGCCCCCCAAAATAAATTTTCTGGCTTGCCCCTATCTAAGGGTAAGATAAAACGGAGTTTGCGTTCCTAGTAGAGGGAGGATATCTAGGTGATGTTTACAAGTATTAAAAAAAAAAAAAAAATAGAAGAAAATTTAAAGTTAGTGGCAGAATATCAGGCTCCACTTGGTTCACATATTTCCCAAAAGTTTTTCCAAAAAAGTAAACTTTATTTCACCTATTTTTAAAATAGTTTTCTAAATTATTCAATTTCTTTAATCCCCCTAAATTTGTTAATCTAACTAAACAACCCCCAAAAAAATTTTAAAAATTGACAAAAACACCCCAATAACCCAAATTTACCAGATTTCGGTCACTACTACCGGAAACTGGCTGGAATCTGGTGTAATGGCGTACTATCAGCTGAATCTGGTCGATAGTGCGCCGAAAAATGTTAAATCTACGGCCAGATCTTTGGCCATAGACAGTCGTCAACGACTGCCAAGATATGGTCGTCGTTGACCATCAACGACGACCGTATCTTTGGTAGTCGTTGACGATTGTCTACGGCCAAAGATCTGGCCGTCAATATCAATGACGACCGTATCTTTAGCTGTCGTTGACAACTAAATGCGGCCAAAGCCGCAGATCTGGCAGGAAAAGGCCATATCGGTGCATGACCGGTAAGATTGAGCTGGTCATACGCCGATAAGGCAACTCCGGCCACCCTCCGGCGGTGGTGGCCGGCTGTCTGTATTTTTGAGTGGATTTGGGGTATTTTTGTTAACTTTGAATATTTTATTATAGGGGTGTTTAGTAAATAAATAAATATAAAGGTATTTATGTTAATTTTTAAATTTTACATCGTAAAATATAACTAATTTAACTTTTTTTCAAAAGATTATTATAAAAACCACTCAATAATGAACTAAACGGAACCCAGAGTTCGACCTTTTTTTTACTCCGATGCACGGGGAGAGGAAAAGCAAATATCTCAATTGTTACTTTTTATTATAATATTAACTATGACCTTTGAGTTGCATGTTCAATACACGGTAAATTAAGGCAATTCAACCTCTATAAAAAGGGCCAGCAATGCCGCAAGATCGTAGCGGTAGCATTATCATCTTTAAGTATTAGATTATAATTTATCTAGAAATCGTAAAACTAATAATAATTAAACAAAAACAGGTTGTCGTTAGCCGTTGGACTTTATATATATATGATAGAAAGATGTAATTATGATGATTCAGATGTGTGAAGCTAAGTAAAATTATATTTATATACAAGGAAAGATTCCTTCAGCTGCAAAACCACGTTCCCATGGCTTCAACTCTCCTCCGCAACTCCATTAATGGTCTAATAAACCTCCCAAGAAAGTCACCATTTTCAGGCCACCGGAATCTGACGGCAAACTCCCAGCAGAACCCTTTACCGTCTACAGAATTCAACTTTGCAGAATACAGGGCCACGAAGGTAAACCAAATCAACAAGGCACTGGATGAAGCAGTGGTTCCATCGCAAAATACACCACCGATACTTCACGAGGCAATGAGGTACACTCTTCAAGCCGGTGGGAAACGTTTCGCTCCAACTCTATGCATTGCCTCGTGAGAGTTGGTTGGAGGAAACGAGTCTTTGGCGATGCCAATGGCTTGTGCACTAGAGATGATGGTAGCATCGGCTGTGATTCTTGATGATCTCCCTTGCATGGATAATGACGATCTTAGACGAGGAAAGCCTGCAAATCACAAGGTTTTTGGTGAAGGAATTTCAGTTCTTGCTTCTCAAGCTCTATCCTTTCTCGCTATTGAACATTTTGTAACTAAAACCAAAGGCAAAATTTCATCTGATCGCCTGGTTAGAGCCGTTGTCGAGCTATGTTCAGCACTTGGGTCAAAAGGAGCTGTGGCAGGGCAGGTTGCAGACATCAACAGTGAAGGAAAAGAAGTAAGTTTGAGTGAATTGGAGTTCATTCACAGGAACAAAACTGGGAAAATTGTAGAGACGTCAGTGGTTTGTGGGGTTTTAGTTGGAGGAGGAAATGATGTTGAGATAGAGAAGATTAGGAAGTACGGGAAGTGTATGGGGTTGGCGTATCAAGTGTGGGATGATATTTTAGATGAAACTGGAAACACAGAGGAGTTGGGGAAGAAAGCTGGAAAGGATTTGGTGCGAAATAAGGCCACATATCCGAAGTTGATGGGTGTGGATGAGTCAAAGAAGTATGCCAGAGAGTTGGTGGTTGAAGCCAAAGAAGAGCTTTCCTATTTTGATTCTACAATGGCTGCCCCTTTGTATCATATTGCTAACTTCGTTGTTTCTCGCAGCCATTAGATTATTTTCATTACTTCTTTTTTCCTTGTTTAAAGTGCAAACAGCTATTAGGTATTTAAGCAGAATAAAATGGATAAAACAGGTAACAAATGCAGTTTGGTGATCTATTGATGTTATAGTAATTAAATATTACTTTAGTCAGTATTTAAGGGCCCAACTTTCCTGTAGCTGATTCAATCGACTGAATCATACATGTTCATCATTGTACTTGTTTACTAAATTTAATATGATTTTATAACTGCCTTTGTCCCCACTTGTATTCACTTTTCAAATGGTTTTTAGATCAACGATAAAGGTATAGTTTTGAGACATCTCCTTTAAAGATTTGAGGTTGATCCATTATCCATATGCGGCATTGTTAATTTCCTCAATCATTTTTAATATTTATTATTAGAGTAAATCATTTTTAATATTTATTATTAGAGTAATGCTAAGTTTACAATTCAATCTCACAACTTCTGACATCTCATAATTAATTAACTCATAAATTAATCGCGTGTAGTTGCTATAAATCTTGTCTGTCCAATTACGAACTATCAAAGATTATGAGAAATGATTATACACCTAATATTATTGTTATTATTATTATTATAATTTGTATGTTTGACTGTATCAAGAACTCCAATAACTGATTTTAAGCCATTTTCTTGAAAATGATTCCTTTAATTTAGTACAAATTCTTTATGATTTTCTTCCAAAGTTATAAATGAGATCAGTGAGGGTTGTAGTCTCCATTCCAAGTGGCAAGGTAGCTGAGGCTTGCTAGATTTGTTAAATTGGAGAGAACAAAACTGCATGAGCGAATGACACTTGTGCATGAATTGTTCGGGGGAAATGATACTCTGGTAATAGATTTATAAAGCATCTAATATGCAATTTGAAGATTGGTCTACTTCAAAACAACGGCTGGTGAAACTTGAGTCCTTGATGCGAACAATGCCTGCGATGTACCAATAAACTATGATAAAAACAATTTACATGAAGATAATTCCCAAGTAATAATTAGAATAAGGATTTTACTTTATTTCAAGGCTAAAATACAGAGAACTGATTCCAACTATAATACAGAAGGTTGGTCTTAGTTATAGGATTACAACATTCCACATCCATAGCCGAAGATCACAGGGAGATACCTGATAATTCGTTTGGAAAAGAGTGCAACAACAGCTTGAAAAGATATTAACCAAGAACTTTGGGACGCCAACCGGCAATAACATCTTCTGGAAGTGCTTGTGTTTTAATAAATGAATCCTTTGAGAAAATGTTCTGAAATATCACAAAATTATAGCAGCATTAGAAACATATATCATTACATGTATGATAGGCCTGATTAGAAGATATTAAATTCCTAAGCTTAAGTTGATAGATTTCTACTATAGTTTACACATGATAATTACCATTGACAA